ACTCCACTTATACTTAACACTCCACTTCTCCACTTACACTTGAACACTCCACTTATACTTTAAAACTCCACTCAATACTTTATCACTCCACTTAATACTTTAACACACTCCCCTGAACACGCACATTGAGTTGACCATCGTATCATTGGCAAACCGCATAGCCACTTTGCTACCCCCACTCCTCCGCCAATCCACCAAAACCATTTCGTTGTTAGCTGTGCCTGTGAAGAATAACGCGTTACTGGTGGGACTGAACGTGCAGGTCTGGGCAAAACCACTCACACCCTCTGTGTGTAACAGGCTACCGGTTTCCGTGTCCCAAACCTGGGGTAGGGGTGCAGGGGTGTAGGGGAAGGGATAGAGGGGTTAAAAAGGGGGTGTCTGAGTGGTATATATATGAGCTACAGGTACAAGCACACGCGCGTGTGTGTGGTAGGCGGCTGATTTCCGTAAGTTAAATTTGGGGCAGAGGTGTAGGTAGTGGTAGAGAAGTAGAGGAGATGCATTAAGGATGGGTGGATGGCGTGGTAATTGGCACAGGCACAGTTAGTGAGCCACAATAACATTCACGTTGACAATGTTGTGATGTATGTATATATATATATATATATATATCCTTCCTTATAAACAATTTCGTCTGTCAACAACACTCAACTTATAACCTGGGCTACAAAGTGCGACCTAGCGTGTACTACCTTAACGGTTGAATCATATGACGCAGAGACCAACAGTGAGCTATCTCCTGACCAATCAACATCGCTGACAATAAGGTCGTGGCTGCTGAGAGTGTGTGCGTGGCGGTATGACCGCGTGTCCCAAATCTTAACAGTCTGATCATACGAACCCGAGGCCAAGAGCTGTGTGGTATATAGGGTTTAGAGTTTAGGGTTTAGGGTTTAGGGGTTTTGGGGTTTTAGGGTTTTAGACGAGGCATGAGATGCAGGAGATGTTAAAAATTATGTTATCATACAGATATAAGTCATAAATATTTACGTTGTGCATCTAACTGAGCACACATCGCCCTCATGCCCCCCTTTGAGCACAGACGTTTGAACGCATTGGCAGTCATCTATGATACAACGACTGGTTTGATTGTTAGGTATACATGAGCCTACACGTTCATCATGTATACACACAGAGGAACACAAACAGACGCCGAAACACACACACACATATATATA